TCCCAGAAGCTCCCCGCCGTGCCTCGTCTGGCGCAAGTTTCGTTACATTTCTGGACAAAACACTCTAATCCTGTAATGCCATTTGGTACGATTTAGAGGCAAATATAGGTTTGGCTGCTGCATGGTGCCACTATTACCGGGTCTTTACATCAGCGACAACTGGCGATATAAACCCTAAGTTACGGCGCAGCGAACAGTGAATCTGAGTGTCAACACGGTAATAAAGGTTCACTCAATCTGTCCACTCAACCTCTGGGTCAGTGTTGCTCCTGTGGACATGACTGCTGTAAATTCTTCTAAACGGACTATAGTGGCTGCTGAAAACCTTTGTAACTTAAATAAATCCTACTGGAGTGTTAAAATATTCATATAACATTGAAATAGATCTTACTAGTGTTAGAATACTTATGTAACACTGAAATAGATCTTACTAGTGTTAGAATAATTATGTAACACTGAAATAGATCTTACTAGTGTGTTAGAAACTTAAAACAGTGTTGGGTACTTGTGTATCGTTATGAAGACTACTCACACGCCGTATTGAGAGAACCTTCACCCTCCTCACCTCCTGCGGCTGCTACTTCGTCAGGTTGGTCAGAGGATTGGGAGTTACAGACGGCAGTTCGCTGAGATTTGATGCATTTTATTGCCCCCTCGGGAAAACTCTTAGCAAACTTTACCCCATTCTGTTGAATTCACGAGTGTTTGCTGTCCAGGCGTTCACCAAGAAGGTTTAAGGGTTTATTTTTCGAATTAGATTCCTTGCGAGTGTAGGTACAGGGAACGAGGCTTCTGCTATGATGGAAATAATTTTAGTTTACGCTCTTATTTCTGGCTACTGTGTGTGAGTGTTCAGGTAGTTTTCGGGTTTTAGTTCTTCAATAGTGTTTCTTTACCTGTGTTTATAAGGTGAGATTATTATTATTATTAGTAGTAGTATCTTTATTTAAATACTGTATAAACCATTTTTCTAGTTCAATTTTACTTTTATTTGTTAGGAATTTATCAGCGGACGAGAATATGTTGAAGTAACTTGGTCATCTGGTAAGCGCCTGGTGACTCGTGTTAACTTGGTGATGTACTGTAGAACTAGATCCTGAACCTCCACAACACCAAAAACAAAACAAAAGGCCAAAAAAAAAGTATAAAAACCCTACAAAGAATTGCCGCTTAACCTAGGCACTTGACATGGCGGTCGCGTTCGTGGTGACGTAGGAAATTAAATCCGGCGTGAATCCGGAAATACGAACGTGGACAGATGCATTAGGCTGTACCTCAAGGCTCAGTTGGCTGGCTGGCTTCTCGACCTTCCCCCTGGTACATATTTTTAGTCTCTGGAAGTTGTAATATTAAGTAGTACCAACTCTCCCTGATGACTGTGGACAAGTGCAAAGACATTATGTGATATTATGATGTGTCCGTGTGTTTGAATGTGTGTCCTGGTGTGTGTATGTGTTCGACAGGGTGAGCTTGAATGTGTGTGTATTGTGTGTGTGAAAATGTGGTATTTATATGTATGGTTGTGCCTGAAAGTATGAGTGAGTGAGTGAGTGAGTGAGTGTACAACTAAATGTCTGTGTATGAATGTCGGCGAATCTCTTAAAAGTTGTCTGTAAAAGTAATCCGACCACGTAAAGACTTACCCTTCAACTTATTACACCTTAAGATTGAACACCCTGATGCTAACCTAACCTAACCCCACAAGTAATGTAAGAATATTTAATCACCAGCTGAAACAAGAGGGGGGGGGGGGTAATCTTCACGTGATCCAAATGTACAAATAGTAGTTTATCTCTTGGTCTGTGAACGAGGCTGTTAGACTACACGTATATCTCTCACTGGTTATAACAGGACTCCCTCCATCTAGGGCGTGAGGAACCTACCTGGTGTGCTCCAGGATGAGTGAGGGTGTTGAGAAGTCCTTGTGAGGTGGACCACTCGCCAGCGGGCACGTGCCTAAGTGCTCCACCAGCGCTCGCCCCAAGACCTCCTACTGGCCGGGGAAGAGGGGCCTGGGGGGGTGGTGGTGGAGAGGGCTGGTTATGGTGGTAGTGTGACGTAGGGGTGGTGAGTGTGGTGGTTATGATGTCAGGGGAAGGGAGGATGTGGAAAGCAGAAGGGATGGTTGTAGGGGTGGCGATGGTAGTGGTGGTAGTGGTAATTGGTGGTGATGGTAGTGGTGGTAGTGGTAATTGGTGGTGATAGTTGTGATGGTAGTGTTAGTGTGACGAAAGGGTGGTGGGTGTGATGACGGGGGGGGGGTGGTGTGCAGAAGGGAGTGGTGGTGGAGAAAAGTGTTGGGAGGTGGTGGAATGTGGTGGTGAAGGGGTGAGAGGGTTGTGGTGGTAGTAGGTGTAGTCATGGTCAAAGGCGTTAATTGGTTTCAATCGTCTTAACAAAAACCAGTTTGATGTAAAAAAAAAAAAAACTAGTTACATCCTGACTACGTCCATCTCACCTTAATACGTGGCTCTGATTTTATACATCCTAAAATGCATAATGTAAGGAGAAATTGGGTCGTTAATAACGTGTCACTAGCAGGAGTAGTACACGTGTCACCCTGTCGTTCACTTTGCGTCACTGACCAAGGATTTCTGAGACACCGGGAAGGTCACTCTCTCAGGGTTTTATTTGGGAGCCAGTCGCCGATAACGCCCGATATATATAGTCAGTAAGTTATTGACATCCAACTTTAGACATCTAGGGATAATTTCTCAAAGCAACACATTGATTATTTCCCTGTAAAAGATAATTATTTGGTTACTTAAAGGAATATACTCCTTTCGCGTTTCTTCTTATGTCTGTTCTCGGTCTTGTCTCTGTCCTCGGTCCCGTCCTCGTGTTGTCCTCGGTCACCATGGCTCGGGGCGCTCCTCTACACAGGCGGCAGCAGCCAGACGACATGTTGTGTGTCTTGGCAAATACTCCTGCATGAGTCCTTTTGTTATGGCGCAGTCTTTTGTTCTTATTATACGAGCATTCTTTATATATAGTGTGTGTGTGTGTGTGTGTGTGTGTGTGTGTGTGTGTGTGTGTGTGTGTGTGGCAGTAAATATGCATATGTATTATTCTAACGTTAATTACTACCTAAAAAACACACAATGAACATCTGTTAGGTGGATATTTATGGACGGCCGCGCACCATTACACTGATTACATTATTTTTTTGTTCATTATTTAGAACTATTTAACACCAATCCGTTTTGTCGTTCACAGTTTCATTCAATTTAACTTTTAGACGTAACAGATGAAGGTGGGTCGTGAGGACTCCAGTGTTATAACCTTTAAAATATTCGGAACAGGTTATGGCGCGCTGTGTTGAGGTGATTTTTTCTGATCATTACTTTAACAAATACGCTTTACGCTCGTCAATTGACCCCTGTTTCGTTATCACCTGTTTTATTAGTTTTTTTTAATGACTTTATGACTTCTGTGTGACATGACAGTGATGGTCATTTATTTTTTTTTACTGTTATTTCCCCGGGTCATAATTACACCATTTCATCACCTGCTGTTTTTTTCGTCGTTCCATTAATAAACATTTCACAATATATCAGCATAATAAACAGGTTCTGCTGCTCCCTGTTATACTTACCTTATACAGGGTGTTCGCTATGGCCTTGTCCTCCCCATGTTATATACAGGGTGTCCTGATATTGGCAACAGGACATAGTGAACACCCTATATAAACATAGAGTGAAGTAGGACATTGTGGACACACTATATAAATGTTAGGTGCATAGACAGATTTCGTTCTCAAAACATAACATCAACAAAGGGTGATATAAGAGAGTGTTGTCACCTTGGAATATTTTTAGTGACGCCACATATCCAGGAGTGCTGTGAGCCCCGCCGTGTACTGCACTACCCTGGCGTGAGGGAGAGATGTGTTTTCATTTGTGTTCTCGCCGCCATGACTCTTAGTAAACCTCCTCACATATCCTGATTTGCGACGGTCCGGGAGATGGATTCTTTGCAAAGCTCGTAGGTTGAGTTGTTCCTCATAACTGGAGGTGCTGGCTGGGGAGGAACTGACCCCCGTGTAGGCAACGACACACAAGATGGCGTCTTGTAGTAGCGTCGATGATTTAGGCCCGATTTTTTTTTTAAGTGGTGTTTAATTACGTTAACTTCAAGATAGGTTTGCTTGGTCCACTGGGACACTTGACCTATACAATCTGCCATTACCTCAAGGAGTGCGGGGAGATGTGTCAGACACAACCCTCCATCCACAAAACCATGTTAATGATTGATGGCGTCTTTCAAGAACCTTTGTAAGAACTTAAAGTGATCGTATTACAGTCCAATAAGATGGTATTCCCTCCTCTAGGTACTCCATATGTTGGTTTTACTTTACGATAATTATATGTAGTTCCATCCTCTTGCTGTCAACTCTGATTCGATCGGAAATATGTTGTTCATAATCATAGGCCTAACTGTTAGGTTTATGTGGTGACATTTTTAAAAGCTTCAAATCCGTGAGGTTGACATAGTGAGCCATGAGTTTGACAAAGAAAACGATCAGTAATACGCTTATTCGTTTTCTTCAAGAGATGAGACATTGATGGGAAACTTAAAGAAAATGTATTGCCTGTTAATTCCTGTTCACTCTTGGGAGATTGATATGATCGTGGCGAAGAAACAGCAAAGTTTCACACAATATTTAGATGACCTTTGTTTTATTTACGAATGAATTGACCTCGTAAAAAAAAATCATTCATGATGTAAAGAACTAAACTCTTACCAACACTAGACGGTCACTGTGTTGGTTCTGAGAGTATCGTGTGAGTGAAGGGAAAGGAGAAACATGAATCACATATCATACAGTTTAGATTTTGATGGCTCGTCCTCTTACCTTCAGAGTTGGTCGAGTGTTGAACGGTGATTTGTCCGTTTCTTTTTCTGTCTATCTCATGTTACTGTCCACTTTTTGCTACTTGTTATCTCTTGACAGTATCTAGCTCTGTTCATCCCCTGTCCATGGTGCCCGAGTCAACATCTTAACCAAATCCTCCCCAGCCAACACTTCGGCCAGCTCCTCCCCTGCCAACATCTGGGCCAGCCATCAGCTCCGCCTGGCCCTGGTGCTCACTGCTACTACAAGAAACCCGGCGGTGTCTTTCTGAATCTCTGCGTCTCTCAACTTGGGATGTGTGAGAGATTGATCGACTTGGTGTTTTGCCTTTCTGGAGATTTTTGCCGTGGTGATAACAGCGGGTCTGCTGGCGGCTGAAGGCTGATGGCTGGAGGCTGGCGGCTGTTTGCTGGCTGGAGGCTGATGGCTGGGGGCTGGCTGCTGGAGGCTGGCTGCTGAAGGCTGGCTGCTGAAGGCTGGCTGCTGAAGGCTGGCTGCTGAAGGCTGGCTGCTGGAGACTGAAGGCCGTAGATGGAGGAGTTCTACTTGATGACACTGTATTTTGTTGTTGATGTGTACAGGACGATCTAGTGACTGTTCTCAGGGGGTGACGAGGTGAAGGTGTTTAAATACAAGTAATAAGTCTTCAGAATTTTCCAGTCAAGGTCTCACTTAATATTAGCCTCTAGTTTATTGCATCTTAAAATGAATAACACTAACTTAACCTAATTAAATCCCACCAGGTAGCGTTAGGGTGTTCAATCATCAGCTGCGGTGCCTCATATCCAGGTGATCCTACATAAACTCTTTCACTATATCCAAGATTAATTAAAAAAGTTGTCCGTTTCTCCCACATAATTGCTACCTGTCACCTGGCCAAAACTAATATCCGCGACATATTTACATAAAAAACTCGAATATAGAAGAATTGTTGCTCAGGTGTCTTGGTAATTAAACTGGAGCACCTGGGCGGACAATGTAAGGCATGCATTCTACCTCTCCGCTTGTTTTATGAATATCATTTGTCGTTACGTGTTTTGCATTCTTGAAATACAGCGAGAGTTTCCCTTACCGCCATATTGCTTCCCGCTACACATGTTGTAACACGACCACACAAACATACGTACATGCAACAGAAGCATAGACCGATACATACATATATACATACATACATACATACATACATACATATATACATACATACATACATACATACATACATACATACATATATACATACATACATTTGTAGGAATATAGTACAACTAATGAGAAAGAGAAAGAGCGAGAGAGTTGCAAAATCAGAATCTTACCATAACCTAACCTATCCTAACCTAACCTATCCTAACCTAACCTAACACAAGGAAGTGAACGCGTGTAGGGACTATTATCCTGGGATCACTGACCTATTAAATGGGCGGGAGAAAAAGGGATAAACCCCTTTAGAGAGAGTCTGATCCTAGGGTGAGGGATGCAGGACCAATTAACTGGTTCCAACTAACTCTTCCCAGATATTAAACGACGCTACAGATCGGTACAGCTGTGAGCGTTTAGGATTGACTAGATTTAAGGATTTCTCCGTAGTTAGGATACTTGGAGGACTCTAAGAGGGAAGGAGTGCAATTACTGATGAAGGGATTAAGTAGGACGGGTCTGGTCGCTGCTGGCTGGGAATCAAGAAAGGATTTTGCTTTTTATTTTCGGGATGAACTGGCAGAGTGGATATAATACTCGTTCCCTGTCCCAAGAGTCGCTGGTTCGATCCCTAGGCACTCAGTCCACCCAGCCGTTAAAAAGGACACCTTGTTTTGCAGTTGAGGAAATGAAGGTGATCGAGTCCTGTGAGACCTACTGTTAGTTACCGGCAGTAAACCTTGAATGAAATAAGAATTATTTTCTCCTCCTTCTCCTCGTCCTCCTCCTCCTCCTCTTCTTCTTCTCCTCCCTCTTCTTCTCCTTCTTCCTCCTCCTCCTTCTCCTCCTCCTCTCCCTCTTCCTTCTCCTTCTTCCTCCTCCTCCTCCTCCTCCTCCTCCTCCTCTTCCTCCTCCTCCTCTCCTCCTCCCTCCTCCTCCTCCTCTCCCTCCTCCTCCTCCTCCTCCTCCTCTCCTCTCCCTCCTCCTTCTCCTCTCCCTCCTCCTCCTCCTCTCCCTCCTCCTCCTCCTCCTCCTGCCCCCAGCGTGTTGCCCTTCTAGTTGCCAGTAGTTAGGAACTCCACATAAAACACGGCATATTGGGTCATTAAGTAGTTTGCCCATTAGCCTTCTTACGTCGAGGCACATTACAGGCGCCATGACTTCTTAACCACGTCGGTAGGAAGGTCGTGTTTCACCCCAGTTGATGATCCCCCTGGCTGGGTCAGGGGGGGGGGTGGAGGAGGAGGAGGAAGGAGGAGGAGGAGGAGGAGAAGGGAGAGGAGAAGAAGGAAGAGGAGAAGAAGGAGTAGTAGAAAGAAGAGGAGAAGAGGCAAGAGGAGGAGGAGTAGACCTCTCTGCCAAAGACGCATCGGGGTAGGGAGGAGGAGGGGTGTTGGTGAGGTACTGACGGGATAATTCCGGACGGCAAGAATCTCCCGAGACAGTAAACAGGACCTGACGAAGACGCTGCTGCAGGCTAGGGCGGTGGAGGATTTATCAAGGACGACTGATTAACATTTTTAATTCGGTGACTTAACTGAGGAAGACTGATGACATACTGTGACTTGACTGAGGAAGACTGATGACATACTGTGACTTAACTGAGGAAGACTGATGACTCACAATGACTTAACTGAGGAAGACTGATGACTACGGTGACTTAACTGAGGGTGGGGACGAACACGGAGACTCGTATAGGGACGGGGGCTTCTACCGGGTACTGAGTCCTCGCAGCAGATGGGGAAAGACTCTGGATTTGGATTCGACGACAAGGCGGATGCTGGATATTGGATTGGGATTCCATAAAAGATGGAAGCTCGACCCTCGACTGGAATTCCATAGCGGACTAGGGGGAGGGGAGGGGGTGGAGGTAGGGGAGGAGGGGTTGGTGTTGAGGGTGAAGGAGGGGGTGGTGTTGAGGGAAGGAGGGGTGGTGTTGAGGTGAAGGAGGGGTGGTGTTGAGGGTGAAGGAGGGGGTTGGTGTTGAGGGTGAAGGAGGGGGTGGTGTTGAGGGTGAAGGACTGAAGAGCGGGCCACTTGACTTATGTTCCAATAATATTTAATTGGGTGATTCATTTACTTTCCATTTAAGTCTTTAGAAAAAATAAATCCTTTCATTTATCTCTATGTTAGCCTTTACTTGAACCTCCAGCCAACTAATTAATGTTTCTTTTTAAAAGTTTGTGACTTTGACTTAAGCTTCCAAATCTTGGTCATAACGTCTTCAAGCTTTATCAGTAAGCTTCCAAGACGCTCGACCCTCTCCCAAGTTTTGACAACGAAACTTGCAAATTTCAGTATCCCTTCGTAAGTTACCGCAGCGTCGCCCAAGTTAAACACCTCTCCAAGACTTACCGCTAAGCCTCCAAGATTCAGTTCCTCGTCTGGCTGACCTCCACCGTCTCCAAATAAATAACTTTGAAGGATGCAACACGTCTCCAAACACGACCACAGCGGCTTATAATTTCATCCACCTCTTCCAAAGTTTTATCGCTGAAACTATAAGAATTTATCTCCTAAAGTCTTCGAATTTATCATCCAAACGTCTAAAGAGCCAGTCCAGGGCCAGTCCAGGGGCCATTCCAGGGTCCGTAGTAGAAAGAGGACATTCAAATTTGATGGTCCTGTGCATAGGAGGGGGTGTTGGGGAGGGGTGTTGGGGGGCGAGGGAGGGGGTGTCCTGAGCCGTTGGTGTGACGTAACAAGTGCCTGGAGGTAGCAAGACCAGCCGGAGTCTTTGGGGTCAAGAGGACGAGAGAGAGAGAGAGAGAGAGAGAGAGAGAGAGAGAGAGAGAGAGAGACACACACACACACACACACACACACACACACACACACACACACACACACTGGAAGCTCTCTGGATATACAACTTGGCAAATTCCGTTAATTGGAACAACTGCCGAGACAGACAGATTGGCATACGAGACAGACAGACACACAAAACAGGCAGGCAGACAGACAGATAGACAGGCAGGCAGACAGACAGGCAGGAAGGTATTCTGGCAGACTGAGTGACAGGTTGGTAGGGTGACAGGCAGGTACAAGGGTATAACAGAGAGGAGGAGGAAAAATGGAAACAGGACAGGTGTAGGTGTCCCTTCACTTCACCTCGCCTCGTAATCAGTGGCGGTGTAAAGTGAGGACACTGCTGAATCTCACACGTTGGAAGGTACTTACTGAACTACACACACACACACGCACGCACACACACACAGAGTAAACAAGGTCACAATGACTCACCACAGGTCAGGTCACTGTAGTACATAATGGGCTGAGTCCTACATCGCTTAAGTCATGTCGATGTAAACAGTAATTTGTATGAGTATTTTTCACAGGTATTTAAAACCTTCACTGAGTGTTTTAATCTGTTATCATCCTGAACTATATTCTCTTATCACTAACCCCTCACCTGTACTGATAACAATGATAACTGACACCTGTTAGTTTATTGACCAGGTAGCTGTCTCCTACTAAATCGTACGTCCGCTAATAAGCTTTATAATACCTGGAGTGAAAGCTAAAAAATGGACAGTCAGTTATCACAGGAGACAGATTGGGGCTTATGGATGCGGATGACTGTCTGTCTGTCTGTGTTGTGTTAGATCGGCAATGATGAATGAGGAGACAGGTAGATAGTGCGGAAGGTGAATTGGAACAAGAGAATTTGCATCTGCAGTATAGGAATGCAACTGAAAGAGAATGGGATGGAGGGTCTGGCCTGGTTGATGTTGAAGGGGTGTGTACGTGTGTATGTATATGTGCGTGTGCGTGCGTGTGTGTATGTGGGCGTGCGTGTGTGTGTATGTGTGTGCAATCTGCGTAGAGTTGTGAGGTCTGTATTGATCGTTGTGTGGGGTAAGGGAGGGGGGGAGGGGTCGATGCAAGGGAGGGTAGTAGCTATAGCTTTGGAGGAAGGGAATGGGAGGGGAAGGGAGGGGAGGGAGGGGAGGGAGAGGTTATAATCACTTCAGCTGCATACCATTCCATTTCCCCCTTTTTCTATGTAGCAGTTGATTCCCACTTTCTTTTTTTTTTAGGGTAAACTAATGTACTTTTTCCCATGTCTCGTTGATGGATTAAATGGATACTCAGTATTAATGATCCCTCTCCCTCCCTTAGCCGCTGAGTCTCACTGCTAATGGAGGCCTCTGTTCCCCCCCACCCCCTTCCAAGTCCTAATTGACACCTATTCTTAAACGGACCCTTGTTCTGTTTGGCAACCAGTACTCAATAGACCTCGGTTCTAATTGGCACCTAGTCGTAATATATCTCAATTATAATGGTTAGGTTAGGTTAGGCCAGGCCCAAGTAGGAGTGTGGCCCATTCAGTTCTCTACGTGTTATTTTTGTCTGGATAACGTTCTTCCAATAACATGTTCCCTTCCTCCTCCTCTATCACCGTGTTCTTCCTTTATCACCTCTTACAGTTTCTCCCTCCTCTTCCCTCCTGCTACTCCTCTTCCATTTCTTCCTCCTTCATCTCCTTCTCGTTCAATTTTCATCGCCTTTTCCATTTCCTTTACCTCCTTCAGTTCTTCATTCTCTTCTTTTTCTACTTCTTCCTCATCCTCCTCTTCTTCCGGTTCTTCCCTTACCCCTTCTTCCTTTTCCTACGACTTCGCTTCTTCCTCTTTTACTTCTTTCTCCTCTCCCTCCTCCTCTTCTTCTTCCTCCTCTACTTCTTCCTCCTCTTCCTCTGCCTCTTCCTCCTCCTCTGCCTCTTCTTCCTCTTCTTCCTCCTCTACTACCCCCCTCCCCCCCCTCCATCCATCACACCGCCAAACTAGCTTTTAGCCCAGGTCTCTCTCCCTGTTCCTCCTCTCCTCAATTTCCTCACAATTACAGTTTTTTCAGGTAATTACCTCTCGTTGCTTCCCTTACGGGCCCGAGCGTCCCTGGTCCGGCCTCTTTGTTGTCTGGCCCAGTGCCACGAGTGCCACTTAGTTCCTCAAGTGGTGCCCTCCAAGTGCGCACTCTATTGTAAGTGTCACTGTTCTATATGTCTCACCTTGTTTAATTACCACGTTTATTTAAGTGTCACGATGCTCTCTGTTCTAGTGCCACTGTTCTCCGTGTCACTGTTCTGTATATGTCACTCTGTTCAAGTGCCACTCTGTTCTCCATGCCATTGTTCTGTTTGTGTTACTCTTGTTCAAGTGTTACTCCGTACTACGAGTGTTGTTCTCCAAGTTCCATTTAGTTTCTGGTGTCGCGTTGAGTTTCATTTGCCATTGTGTTCTTCGTGTTCCTGTTCTTCAAATAAAGTCACTCTGTTACTTTCCAAGTGTCACTCTGTTTTTAGTGTGACTTTGTTCTCCAAGTGTTGTTCTTCAGTTGATGTTCACTAATTGATTCTGAAAAATTTGGTTTTCTCAATGTTCTCTATCTGCTACGTTGTTATCTGTGTGCTAGTCTGTTCTTCAAATGACATTATGTTTCCCAAGTTAAATTCTGTTCTCCAACTGTCGCTTTGTTCTTCAAGTGCCATGCTGTTCTCCAAATGGTGTTCAGGGGCTGCCCGATTCACTAAGTCTTACCGTCTGAGTGCCTATGTTCTCCAGTCGATAGTCTCTTTACCTACACCACCTCCTACACCCGCACCTACACCACCACCTACACCACCACCTCCTACACCCGCACCTACACCACCACCTACACCACCACCTCCTACACCGCACCTACACCACCACCCACACCACCACCACCTACACCACCACTCCACACTCCACACCCCACACCACCACCTCCTACACCCGCACCTACACCACCACCTACACCAGCGACGCGCCCTGCACCACACCTACAGTAGCCCCCTGGCGGTGTGAGGACGTAATGAGGAGACGTGTTTTATGAGGGACGCGTAGAATCTCTGTGATCCATCTCATATCCTCCTCCTCCTCCGCCCCCTCCCGCCTCCTACGCCTCCTCCCCACCTCCTCACCACCCCTGCCCACCCTTCCTAGCCCATCCACTCCCCTCCGTTTCTTCCTCACCCTTCCTCGACTCCTCCCCACCTGTCAACTTTCCATTTCGACAACAACACAAAGAAGTAACAAATCTCATGAGGTCCTCTCTCAGTAGTTGTTTTTCTCCTCGTTGTGTGGGACAAGTCAACCTCTTAATAGAGCGCCGCGTGGCACCTCCAACTTATTCCACCTGTTTATAGCCTTTACCTGTGTGTGTGTGTGTGTGTGTGTGTATGTGTGTGAAAGCAGAAGAGAGATGATACTGCTGGATGGGGAAGTTAAGAAGAAAATAACAGGTGGTGATGTGTTTATTTTTTACACACACACACACACGCACACACACACACACACACACACACACACACACACACACACACACACACACACACACACACCTCCTATATATAACTAATAATAATCTTACGTTATTTTGTCGTTGCAGGTAAGGTGTTGCTCAGCGAGTCACCACACTGATGGGTCCTTACCTGCTGACGTGTCTGGTTCACCCGTGAGTGTACATCCTGGACTGAGAGACAGATATAGACGAAAGAGTGACAGACAACAAATGAAGGAGGGAGAGAGAGAGAGAGAGTTAGGGAGAGAGGGGGGTGAAGGAGGAAGGAGATGGAGGGAGGGAGGGAGATAGAGAGAGAGGGAGGGAGAAAGGGAGGGACGTACAGAAAAACACCTAAATCCCTCTTTCGTCTCTGGAGTCAATAAGCTCCTCTCCTCCCTCCTTCCTCTCTCACCCCTTTCATCCCTCCCTCTTCTGACGTCACACCCCAGCCCCTGAGGGAAGGAGGAGAGATGGGAATTAGGAAAGGAAGAAAAGAGAAGGTGGGGGAGGGAGGAACGTAGGGAAGGAGGAGAG